TGGGGATGGATTGGCTTTGAGGGATCGGGTGTGGTGGAGAGGTGGAGAGTTGGGATGTCCCACCACCGTTGTGGTCATGAGGTGGTTGGGTGTGGTGGGGACGTAGGGATGGACGTGGAAGGTTGGGGATGACCATGGGAGGACGTAGAATCGTAGAAGAATGGTTACGGTTGGAAGAGACCTCAAAGATCGTCAAGTCCACCCAACATGGTTGGCTTGGGGACAAACCTGGTGGGGTTGACACGTGGAGGACACCACGTCCTTCTTCTCCTTTAGGTTCCAACTACTACGTGCGGATCCTGAGCACCATCGACCGGGAGCTCCTGAAGCCCAACGCCTCGGTGGCCCTACACAAGCACAGCAACGCGCTGGTGGACGTTCTCCCACCCGAGGCCGACAGCAGCATCATGATGCTCACGTCAGGTGGGCCACCGCCGTGTCCCCGGGGGGGTGGGATTTGGGGCGCAAAGCGCCGGTTGATGATGTCGGTGGTGGGACCCAAGGGTGTTCTCAGTAGGTTCTTGGGTTCTACCCAAGTTGGGGAGATGTAGGTTGGACCTTTTCTTTAGAGCAACCTTAAGAGTTGGACCCAAGTGGTGGAGAGCAACTGGACGTGGTCCAGGTCCACCCAGATGGATGGTGGTGGGTCTCTGTCCTTGGAGACCTCCAGCCTTCTCTTGGGGAAGGTCCTGAGCACCCCACGCAGGTTGGAGAAGTTTTGAGGGAGACGTTGGGCCAGGGACCTGCTGTCCCGAGGGACTGGAACCATGACCAGGGGTGGTGGGTCTCCATCCTTGAAACTGGTCAAGGTCCCAAGTGACCTACTGCGGTTGGAGACCTTCTGGAAGGGAGATAGGTCCAGGAATTGTTGTCACATGAGGATGGAAGCGTGGATTGGTGGTGGGTCTTCACCCAACCATCACCTAGACGAGGTCCCATGTGACCTACCTTGGTTGGAGATGTTTTGGGGAGGAACTTGGACCAGAAACTCTTGTCCTTGTTGCCACGTAAGGCTGAAGCCATGACTAAGACCTAGCTGGATGGTGGGTCTTCATCCATGAAGCCACCCAACCATCAACTAGACAAGGTCCCACCTGCCCTACTCTGGTTGAGGTTCTTCTCTGTTTGTCCCAACACCCTCTCCAAGGCCTCCAGCTTGGCCACCGTGGTGACCCCCGTGGTTGCCCCGCTGATGACCCGTCCTCGTTGCAGACCAGAAGCCGGACGTGATGTACGCCGACATCGGAGGCATGGACATCCAGAAGCAGGAGGTGCGGGAGGCGGTGGAGCTGCCCCTCACCCACTTTGAGCTCTACAAACAGGTGAGGTTACGTAGCACCCTAGGGTGGGATGGTGGGGGGGTGGGTGACACGGGACCCTTGGTGACCTCTGACATCACCCTTGGCTGTTGTGTCACCACCTAGATCGGCATTGACCCCCCGCGAGGTGTCCTCATGTACGGACCCCCCGGTTGCGGCAAGACCATGTTGGCCAAGGCTGTGGCCCACCACACCACAGGTGGGGCGACACCCTGGAGGGTTGGGGGCACCCATGGGTGGGTTGGGGAGATTTTTGGGGTGATGGAGGAGAACCTCAGGGTGTTGGGGGTCCTTGGGTTGATGTTGGGGGTCCTTGGGTTGATGGTGGGGGTCCTTGGGGTGCTGGTGGGGTCCTTGGGGTTTTGGGGAAACCCTAGGGTGCTGGTGGGGTTCTTGG